GGGGGGGGGGGGGGGAGAGAGAAAAGAAAAAAAATATCTTTAGATAAGAACCACGGGAACTAAAGTTTTAACTCTGGCCGTTCCAATTAGTTCACAGCCCCCCCCCCCCGTCCCCGGGCAACCCCGGGGACAAACCACAACCTGGCCGTAATCCTATCACAAGTTATTAGAGGGAAGTAAGAGTGCAATGGTTTGATAACGGATTATTTAATACTGTGAAAAGGTTGGGTACGAGATTAACAGGGGGGTTTGTCAATGACGTCATTGCTGACAGCGCCGATCACTCATAGTTCATAAATAGTTTTAACGCTGTTAAATATAACTTTGCTGAAGTTGATTTATTTTTTAATTTCTTTTTTTTTTTTTACAAACCGTTCACAGTAAAAAAGAAAAAAGGAAGCATTGAGGCATTTTCATTTACTTAATAAGCGACCTTTCTAAACATCAAAGGATCTCTTACCCTCCTAATCTGTCTATTGTCTTAACTGTCACTAACCTCATCTGTCTATCATCTCAACTGTCACTAACCTCATCTGTCTATTGTCTCAACTGTCACTAACCTCATATGTCTATTATTCAACTGTCACTAACCTCATCTGCCTATTATTCAACTGTCACTAACCTCATCTCTCAATTATCTCAACTCTCACTAACCTCATCTGTCTATTATTCAACTGTCACTAACCTCATATGTCTATATTCATCAACTGTCACTAACCTCATCTGTCTATTATCTCAACTGTAACTAACATCATCTGTCTATTGTCTCAACTGTCACTAACCTCATCTGTCTAATATCTCAACTGTCACTAACCTCATCCGTCTATTATCTCAACTGTCACTAACCTCATCTGTCAATTATCTCAACTGTCACTAACCTCATCTGTCTATTATCTCAACTGTCACTAATCTCATCTTTATATTATCTCAACTGTCACTAACATCATATTTCTATTATCTCAACTGTCACTAACATCATATTTCTATTATCTCAACTGTCACTAACATCATATTTCTATTATCTCAACTGTCACTAACCTCACTTGACTCTGATCTAATCTGTATCTGGCCTCAACTGTGTCTGACCTCATCATAATACTATATGTATTATAGATATATTGCTTCTGGTGTGTCCTACTTCCTCTTCACAACCGGCCCTCCCCCAACTCCACATGTTTTATATTAATAGCGCTGAGTGAAAAAGAAAAAAAAAAGTGACGCAGCGAGTTTTCATGCGTGACGTCTGAACCCCGTTTGGGTCTATTTCTACTTTAGGGGGAGGCGACTATTATTGTTATCAAAATAGAGCCACGGCTTTGGTGTAGGACTTGCTGTAGGACTGTCTGTAGGACTGTCTGTAGGTCTGTTGTTTTAAAACCGGCAGGCAGGGTGTAGGACGGTCTTTAGGACTGTCAGTAGGCCTGTTGTTTAAAGGCCATCAGGCAGGGTGTAGGACTGTCAGTAGGCCTGTTGTTTAAATGCCGGCAGGTAGGGTGTAGGACTGTCTGCAGGCCTGTTGTTGTAAAGCCGGCAGGTTAAGATGGGAATGTCGGTAGGCTTATTTTGTAGGCCGGCATTAATTATAGAAAATAAGAATGTAACTTTTTTTTTTTGTAACACTTGGACCCATCGGGTATTTCCTCAAAATAACCGAACCCGGTGCAAAAAAAACAACAACTGGACACGGTTAAGCCCTAGTAACTTAATACTAGATAAAATGAGAGAAAATATCGGTTGGTACTTAATTTTATTGTTTTACGTTTGGTCAAAAAAAATTTTTTTTGCTTTTTAAGCCCAACACACGACAAGCAAAACATATGACAGGCCAAACAGATGACAGGCCAAACAGATGACGAGCCAAACACAAGAATAACATAAGAAAAGCCTAGGACATGACAAACAAAACACTGACTTGCTTCAGGACGGTGTGATCCGTGGGGTGGGTTCATTGATGCTTCTTGCCCCTAAAGCAAGAACGATCTATGACCTTGTTTGCATCGATACGGCCTTGACCTCCTACGTCCCACAGTCTTGCCATCGTAAGGAAGATCTCGAATGTATCGTTGATATGAGATCGAAGTCAACAACGTTAGCGAGATTTCATTTGTTTAATCGACTTGATTTTTTTTTTTTAATAACTTTATCAAAAAGATTACTAGTCTAGTCTAATGCCAAGGTCGACAAATCGTTCATCAGTTACATGTTTTTTTGTTTGTTTTTGGGGTGTGTGCAGTGTGCCGCCCATTCAAATAAAGAAAATAATGCTACCAGGGCTTAGCGCTGCAAACGCACTCCCCCCTCCCCCCCTTTTTTTTTTCCTTCTACGTACGCCCCTGGGTGTGGGGGATTAAGACAGAGGATTGAAGAGGATAAACCCCTGAGTAAAACAGCTCAAAGCTTTTAAGACATTATAATAATACTACTATGAGCATTTTGTGCACGTGAGAATCTGGTCGCTGTGAACTTTGAAAACAAATATGGAGTCAATAAAACAGTATGACATTGAATCTGCTGCCCCGATTTGAATTTATTCAGATTTGAACTTATTCAAATAACCGTATACTAAAGTGAACGCTAGGTGCCAGATGGCCAAAGTGGTCTAAACCAGTGGTTCTCAATGGTTTTGAAGTCGGGAGACAGTAAATTCTGATTTTTTTTTTTTTTTTTTTTTGTTCAGGGCACTTACAATATAATATTATTTTTTTTTACCCCCCCCCAAAAAAAAAATTTAAAAAATTTAAAAATCAGATTTTTTTGTTGGCCACACCTGCTTAAGTGTTAAATTTTATAAAGATCAATATACCGATATTGATTGATGCAAACATATTTTTTTAATGACTTAAAATAACAATACTTTAAAAAAATAATTCTCAAATTGAATTCGATATATCAGCTTGGTGATCTTTGCAGTTTTCAGCATTATGTTGACGAACAAACGATAAAGCCATGCACTCGCATCTCCTCTTCTGAATTTACAAGTCGTTCTCGTGGCTTTATGTTAATATGTACCATTGTAAAAAATCCTGCTTTTTTCATAATAAATGTCTTTTATTCATTTATTCTAATAGCTTATAATGCATTGTGATTTCTAATATTTAAAAAAAAATAATATTTTTAAAAGTAAAAAGATAACTAGTTTTTGTTTCATGTGTAAAATAATGTTAATGTATTTACTTCTCATCGTTAAGACAAAGCTATTCATTGTTTAATGTAACAGTAAATAACCAAAAGCTCCAAGTATAAAGCTCTAAAGTTTTTGACCCCACTCCCACAGTTTTCAAAAGAGTAAGGTCCTCTCCGTGTTATTTCAGCACTCCAAGCTAACAGGGACACAAAAGTCAAATCGCTAATCGATGATTTGGCAAGGTAAGTGCTTTTTCAAGACGGCAAATGTTGATGTTTTTATGATTGCCTCTTTTTCCGGAAGAATGAAAAAATAACGTTGTTCGAGTGCAATGTGTGAGTGCTTGCCATTTAGAGGGGGGGGGGGGTGGCCGTGCCATCTTAACGGCATTGGGAGCACTGGGGAAAGTAATACACTAAGCCCCCCCCCCCCAACCCCTCTCTAGCATATTCACGTAATGCTAGGAAAAAAATATTTTGGGCCTAGCTGTGTCCATCCTTATTCTTCCAGTATTATTTCAGACAATGTTGTGTACTGGCACCAAGGCTCTTCTCCATTTTCTTCTCGATGCTCCCTCAATTTGCCTTCGGGGATTGTGAAGATGGAGTGTACATATCCATAGCAGATCGGACGGTAGGCTGTTTAATATCAGCCGCCTTCGTGCAAAGACCAAGGTAAAAAAGGTACTAATTCGTGCACTGCTGTTCGCTGACTATGCCACATCGTACACAGAAAAGGGTCTAGTTAATCGTGTTCACACGCACGTAAAGACTTTGGACTGTTAATGAGTCTACAGAAAACAAATGTCATGATGCAAGAAGCACCGTCTCCGCCAATCATATCTATTGAGGGCCACAATCTGTGAGTTTTAAAGCCTTTTACAAACATTGGATCCAATATTTCTAGTTCTCTCTCCGTTGACCAAGAGATTAAACATCAGGATTGCAAAAGCAGCAGCAAGGATGGCTACACTGAATAAGTGGATGTGGATTAATCTCAATCTATAAAAACTGATAGTACAAAACTAAGCTTCTATCAGACTTGTGTGCTTAGTAGTACGCTTGAGCCAAAGGTATAACCCAGGGTGTGCCACAACCAGATTTAATGTATGTCTATATATAGCGGGCCGATGGAGTCAAAACTGTCCTTGGGCGTCGAAATGTCAAATTGTGTCGCTGATAGTTACCCCTTTCCGAATGGCTGATGAAATTGTCTGAAATATGTATGGCCCCCTTCCATCTTCGCAACACGATGGAGTCGCTATGTACACTTCAAAGAATGGCTCACTGGGTCAATCCTGGAATGGCATTCTCGTCTAGAAACCTTGACTTCTGGTTAGACTCGGCCTTCCTTATTGTTCTTTTTGTTACAAAGTTTCGTTTCACGCATCTGCTGCCTTTTGGCTCCTTCATATACTACTGTTTGCCAGCTGGAACGTTGTTCAGCGC